GTTTTTGGGGTCTTGGGGGGGTCCAGGGGAGGTTTTGGGGGTTTTAGGGTGATTTTTGGGATCCTGAGGAGAATTTTGGGGTCCAGGGGAGGTTTTTGGGGTTTTGGGATGGTTTTTAGGGCATTTTGGGGTGGTTTTTGAGGCATTTTGGGGGGTCCAGGGGAGGTTTTTGGGGTTCTGAGGAGAATTTTGGGGTCTCCAAGGGAGGTTTTGGGCTTTTTGGGGCCATTTTTGTTATCCTGAGGAGAATTTTGGGGATCCTGAGGAGAATTTTGGGATCCCAAGGAGTTTTTTGGGGTCCAGGGTGGGGTTTTGGGGTTTTTGGGGATCCTGATGAGAATTTTTGGGATCCTGAGGAGGTTTTTCGGGTCCAAATCCCAAATTTTGTCCCGACTGGAAGATTCCAACCCCGATTCCGGCCGATCCCCGGTGACTCACCGGCGCCCAGGCCGCGTCTCCGGTGCGATTCGGCGAAGGCGGTGATCCGCGGCCAGCTGATGGCGATTTCCTCGGCTGCCGAGAACAACAAAATCCCGGAAAATTCCCCCGAAATTCCAGGAAAAAATCACGGAAAAATTCCCCGAAATCCCAGAAAAAATCCTGGAAAATTTCTCCAAAATCCCGGGAAAAAATCCGGGAAAATTCCCCAAAATCCCGGGAAAAATCACGGAAAAATTCCCCAAAATCCCAGGAAAAAATCACGGAAAATTTTCCCGAAATCCCAGAAAAAATCCCGGAAAATTCCCCTGAAATCCCGGAAAAAAATCCGGGAAAAATTCCCCAAAATCCTGGGAAAAAATCACAGAAAAAATCCTGGAAAATTTCCCCAAAATCCCGGAAAAAAATCCCGGAAAAAATCCTGGAAAATTTCCTGAAATCCTGGGAAAAAATCCTGGAAAAATTCCCCAAAATCCCGGGAAAAAATCACGGAAAATTTCCCCGAAATCCTGGGAAAAATTTGGGAAAAAATCCTGGAAAATTTCCCCAAAATCTGGGAAAAAAATCCTGGAAAAATTCCCCGAAATCCCGGGAAAAAATCCTGGAAATTTTCCCCAAAATCCCAGGAAAAAATTTGGGAAAAAATCACGGAAAAATTCCACGAAATCCAGGAAAAAAAAATTTGGGAAAAAATCACGGAAAAATTCCACGAAATCCAGGAAAAATCCTGGAAAATTTTCCCAAAATCGGGGAAAAATCCCAGAAAAATTCCCAAAATCCAGGGAAAAAATCCCGGAAAATTTTTCCGAAATCTGGGGGAAAATCCTGGAAAATTTCCCTGAAATCCAGGGAAAAAAATCACGGAAACTTTCCCAAAATACGAGAAAAACCTGGAAAATTTCTTGAAATCCAGGAAAAATACCGGAAAAATTTCCCAAAATCCGAAAACGAAAGGGATTCGATCCCGAATTTGAGGGGAAATCCGAGGGAATTCGGGCTCTTACCCAAGGAAATGACGCTCTCGTAGCTTTCCTGCATCTCCTCCCGGAATTCCGAGCTGATCCCGAAGATTTTGGGAATTTTTTCGGGCGGGGAAAATCCCAAATCTCCAAATTCCGACAGCTCCGGGATTTTTGGGATCCTGGGGGTGGGGGGGAATAAAATATTCCTTAAATTTGGAGTTTTTCCGTGTTTTGGAATGGGGGATTTTTAATTTTTTTTGGGAATTTTTTTTGGGAATTGAGGGATTTTGGGAAGGGACCTCCCCCCCCCTCAAAATTCCCACCTTAATTCCCAGATTAATCCCGGTTTTCCAGATTTTGGGAAGGGTTTGAAAAAGGATTTGGGGTTTCCATGGAAAAAATAAAAATAAAATAAAATATATGAAATTAAAATAAAATAAAATTTAATTAAATTAAAATAAAGTAAAATAAAATAAAAATGATATGAAATGAAATGAAATGAAATGAAATGAAATGAAATGAAATGAAAAGAAATGAAATAAAATTAAATGAAATGAAATAAAATAAAATAAAATAAAATAAAATAAAATAAAATAAAATAAAATGAAATAAAATAAAATAAAATAAAATAAAATAAAATAAAATAAAATAAAATAAAAAAAAAATGAAATGAAACGAAATGAAACAAAATGAAATTAAATGAAATAATAAATTAAAAATGAAATGAAATGAAATGAAATGAAATGAAATGAAATAAAATAAAATAAAAATAAAATAAAGTTAAATAAAGTAAAATAAAATAAATAAAAATAAAATAAAATAAAATGAAATAAAATAAAATAAAATAAAATAAAAACTAAACAAAATAAACTTAAATTAAATTAAAATAAAGTAAAATAAAATAAAATAAAATAAAATAAAATAAAATAAAATAAAATAAAATAAAATAAAATAAAATAAAATAAAATAAAATAAAATAAAATAAACCCAGGGAATGAAAGGGTTAAAAAAAGCGCGGGGATTTATTTATTTATTTAAAATGGGGGTGGGGGAGGGGCGCCGGAATTTAAGGAAATTAAAAAAAGGGGGAAAATGGGGGAAAAAACCGGGAAAAAGGGAAAAAAAGGGGGGAGGGGAAAAGGGAATAAAAGGACGAAAAAAGGAAGGAAAAGGGGCGGGAAAACCGGGAAAAAACCGGGAAAAAACCGGGAAAAAACCGGGAAAAATGGGAAATAAAAGATGGAAAAAATGGGGAAAATGGGAAAAATGGGAAAAATGGGATGGGATTAAAAAAAAAAGGGGAAAAACGGGAGAAAATCCGTGAAAATCGCAAGAAAAAATGGTGAAAAACCGGGAAAAAAATAAATATAAAATCCGGGGGAAAAAAAATGGAGGAGGGTCTCGATCGGAATGGGAGGACAAGGAAAAACCGGGATAAAAAAGAATAAATTTAAAAAAAAAAAAAAAAAATCGGGAATTTTTGGGAATTTTGGAGCTTAAAAATAAAATAAAACGGGATCGGGGAGTGGGGGAGGAGGAGAAATAAAATAAAATTAAAATTAAAATAAAAGAATCCGCGGGAATTCCAAGGGTTAAAATTCCAAAGGGAGATTTCTGGGAATGATCCCCTCCCGCCCACCTTTATTTTTATTAATTATTGTTATTATTTAATGGTATTATTTTTTTTTTAATTAATCCCCATTTCAATCCTCACCCTCGGGGCGCGGTCGGAGCGAGGAATTTTCCCTTTTAAGAAGGAATAAAAATGATTATTAAAATTAAAATTATTACCTGGAATGCCGGAAAAATGATAAAAAAAAAGAAAAAAAAACGTGAAAAAGCGGGAAAAAAATAATAATAATAATAATAATAATAAAAAAATAAAAAAAAAATTGGAATTTTGAG